TCACTGTCCATAAGTCCCAGAAATTGATGGCCATACTTGTGTTCCCTCCTAACTACTAAAGCATGCAGAACAAGGCGTGCAGCTCCGAGGGGCTCCGCGACGCTGGAAATGGAAGAGGAAGGGCTTGGCGCATGCTCTATTGCTGGGGCATCCTGATGTTTTGGTTCTAAACCTGCCGTGGGTGTTTATTTGTGAGTCCCATGTCTGAGGGCAGCCTCTCTGTGAGGTCTAATCCTAGCAGAGGTTTATGGCGGCCATCAAGTATCTCCTACCAGTTCCTCCTAAAATAGCTCTCTGGTCCAGGACGCTGGGTGTTCGTGTGACAGGGCTGTATAAATGCCCCGTTGGCTTTCAGCCAGCACTGAGGGGTGCCCAGCTCACACCCTCCATATTCTTTGTGCTCAGAAGCCCTCCTGAGGGAGGGGGGAGCCGGACTGTGCTGCTCGGGTTGGGTTGGGTTTTGTGCCAGGGGAGGGGTGCCGAGCTGCCCATTCCACCGGTCCCCATACTTGCCTCCATGTTTGCATTCCCTCACCCGCCTTGCGTTTGACAATTAATTAGGCATGGTAATTACCTGCTTTAATTTCGTGATTGCACATCCTATAATTAGCCCTAATTCTGTAATAGGGAGGTTCATGTACACAAAGGCAGTGGATGACGGGGGTGATGGGGTTGCAGTATCAACAGCTGCCATTGCTTATTGAGCCAGACCTGGGCCAGTGAGACCGGCCCGCCCTCATTCTGTAGTCTCAAGGTGGTGGTGGGGTGACCCAGGGTCAAACAACTGGGGAGAGCCAGGGTGCAAGCCAGCAGTGCACAGACCTTGCCCTGTTGCTTCGAGGTTAAAGAAAAACAAACCTGCCGGGCACCTGTGGCTCACGCCTGTAATCCTAGCTACTCAGGAGGCTGAGATCTGAGGATCACGGTTCAAAGCCAGCTCGGGCAGGAAAGTCTGTGAAACTTTTATCTCCAATGAACCACTAGAAAACCGGAAGTGGTGCTGTAGCTCAAGTGATAGAGTGCTAGCCTTGAGCTGAAAAGCGTGGGGACAGCACCCAGGCCCAGAGTTCAAGCCCCACAACAGACAAAAAGAAAAAGAAAAAACAAACCTGATGGTGTGTTTGCAGACTTTTACCTCCTACCTGAAAACAGGCGTGCAAGTCTTCATCCTCTCCCGCCCGCTCCCTCTCACTCTGTAACCCCCGAGGACAGGGAAATTGACTTTTAAATTCAGGATGAACATAACTGCCATGGGTACTTGCCTCTTAAGTGCAGCTAATCTCTACTTATGTCTACGCTCCTGTGACCACGCTCAGATGGAGGTGCAGGGCATCCTCGTACCCAGAAGGTTCCTTCCTTTTCTTCTGGGCCCCAGGCAGAACCCCCCCCCCCCATCCCACAAAGTCACAAAGACACCCTGCCGCTGCCTCCTTGGTAGCCTAGTGATTTTACCTTCCACATTTAAGTCTGTGATCCGAAAAGGAATGAGTGCAGACGCATGCATGTGGCTTTGGAACCATCCTCGGTGTCCTGCCTGGCAGAGCAGGCACATGCAGCTGCGACAAGGCACAGGTGACAAGGTACACCTCACAAACACAGCTTTGAGGAAGGCGCCAGAAAAAGCGGCTCCACATATGTGGTACGTGTGTCTAGATCAAGTTGAGAAATGTAGTGTGCAGCACAGCAGAGGAACCCTGCGGATGGGAGGCGCAGAGCGCCCGTGGGAACACTCCAGGGGTTCTCTTCAAGGCCCAGCGAGGCCAGGCCCCTCGCTGACGGACTGCTTTCTTTTTTTTTTTTTCCAGTCTGAAGCCAGGATTTGGACTTGGCTATCTGACACTTTATGCTCCTTGGCAGGCATTCTACCACCTGAGCCACACCCCTGACCCGTGAACTGAGGTTTTTGCCTCCCTCCCGTTCCCTCTCTGCCTCTTCCTGTCATTACCAGCAGTACTAGGCAGTTCTTCCCAATAGGAAGGAAATCTCCAGATGTGAACTTCCTCTTAGAAGGAACGCTGGCTCCATCTGACCCCTGCTTGAGGATAATACTCTCCTATTCTCCTATTGTACTTCCCTTCTGCTGAATCAAGATTAGACTTGAAGTCACTTTTTATTGCTCGATTTAAAAGGGAGCTCAGTTGTGCCCAAGAGGTTGATTCTCTTTATCCCTCTGAGGAATTGTTATCTTTATAGCCCAAGTGGAGGGAATTGGGTCTAATCAAACATAATTTGGAAGGAGGAGTTCTTCAGATAAACAAATAACCCCCGCAGTTATAAGCATGAGCCCTTTTAATTCTTCCGTGGAATAAATCTGTGGTGTGGTCAGGTTGATGTAAACCACAGTGCAGTTTTCTCCGTGTGGGCTGCTGAAAGCTTTGTGCTTGAGCATCGCCTGGTCCTGAGCCCTGTGATTTCAAGGGTATTCCATTAAGATTAGCTCCAGTTAGTGAAACTGAGGGGCTTGGTAGCAAGCAGGCCGCTCTGCTGTCACATGACCTGTGGAGCAAAGGACAAGGCCTCTGGGAGCCTTCGCTGCTGCCTGCTGCCAGAGTCACCATGACGACGAGAGAGCTTGGAGAGCTTGGCTGAATGCGCTGTGCATAGTAGGTGCTTTAGCAGTGGCTACTGTTGAAAATGTTGAGGACGGGCTGGGAAGGTGGCTCAGTGGTAGAGCGCTTGCCTTGCATGCATGAGGCCCTGGGTTCGATTCCTCAGCACCACATAAGCAAAAAGCCGGAAGTGGCTCTGTGGCTCAAGTGGTAGAGCGCTAGCCTTGAGCTGAAGAGCTGAGGGACAGTGCCCAGGCCCAGAGTTCAGGCCCCATGACCGGACCCAAAAATTAAAAAATTAAAAAAAGGAAAAAAAAAGAGAAAATGTTGAGGACATTTCTGTTTTTTTGTTTTGTTTTGTTTTTGTTTTGGTCATGGGGCTTGAAGTCTGGGCCTGGGCGCTGTCCTTCAGCTCTTCAGCTCAAGGCGAGTGCTCTACCACTTGAGCCACAGAGCCACATTTCCAGTTTTCTGGTGGTTAATTAGAGATAAGAGTCTCACGAGCCAGGGGCCCAGTGGCTCACGCCTGTAATCCTAGCTATGCAGGAGGCTGAGATCTGAGGATTGCAGTTCAAAGCCAGCCCAGGCAAGAAAGTCCCATAAGACTCTTTTCTGCAATTAATCACCAGAAAACCAGAAATAGTGCAGTGGCTCAAGAAGTAAAGCACTAGCCTGGAGCTGAAGAGCTGATGGACAGTGCCCAGGCCCAGAGTTCAAGCCCCACGACCGCCCTCCCCCCCAAAAAAAGTCTCACAGACTTTTCTGCCCAGGTTGGCTTTGAACTGTGATCCTCAAATCTCAGCCTCCTTCGTAGCTAGGATGACAGGCATGAACTACCAGCCCCTGGCGCTTGAATTGACATTTTGTTGCTCACTTTTGTGAGCCCTGGGCACTCCTTCCTCCCCCTGCTGTGTTTCATAGAGCTTCTTGACTTCCTGTGTTAGCAAGACTGTCCCAGAAATCACTTTTTGTCTTGTTTTGTTTTTGGTGAGCACATTGTCACCCAGCAATACTGAGGATGTGGACACTAAGTGGGTGACTGTCACCTGCTGTCATTGAGCAGGCCTGTGCCTGCCTAGCAGGGCCTGTGGCGGCCCAGTGTCCCTGATCCCCATGGCTCTCCATGCCCTGTTCCAGATGGAGCCAAGTACTCATGGCTTGGCTTGTCTTCTCTGCCATCGTCCACCAGACTCCAGATGGCTGCTGGGCTATGGCAGAGTCCAGCTAACCTGGGCTTCTCTGAATATGTCTGCCCATCTTTTAGCAGGTGACATTCAAATAAGCTTCCTGGTCAGGTCAGCTCAGAATAAAATAGCACTTGCAACAACTTTATTCTAGAAGTTATCACAAAGACCTTGTAATGAGTACTAAGATTAAATAGGCTTTTTTGGTGACCGCCTCCCCTCCCCCTGCATTTTGTTAAGCTTGCCTTTTCAATGTAAGAATTTATGGGCTTAAACTTGCCTGCTGAATGGGTGGTTTTCACAGAACTTGGCATGAACGTTAGAGGCATCTGGCTTCGTGGTTAGGAAGATCTTTAAGTGCGTGTTGATGACTCCTGCTTAGAAAGTGTGACAGCCATGCGTCACTGTGGATGTCACCCCTGGGCTGTCCTTGCTCTCTCCCACGCCCAGCTTTTCTGGGGATGTCACTGCTCCGTGTGCTGGCAGGAGCCAGGGTGACAGGAAGCCTGGTGAACTTACTCTTGCATTTTGTACCCTCAAAAATACAAATGAGGGGGCTGGGGAGGTAGCTCAGTGGTAGAGCTCTTGCCTTGCATGCCTGAGGCCCTGGGTTCGATTCCTCAGCACCACATAAGCCAAAAGAAAAAAAGCCGGAAATGGTGTTGTGGCTCAAGCGCTAGAGTGCTAGCCTTGAACTGAAGAGCTGAGAGACAGCGCCCAGGCCCAGAGTTCAGGCCCCCATGACCGGACCCCCCCCAAAAAAAAACATACAAATGAGAGTCAAAGCATGACTAGAATAAAGATGTTTTATGCCCCCACTGAGCCTCCCCTGTCTGGATGTGGCCTCCTGTCCCCAGGACAGATCTCAACCTGGCACCTTCCTTCCTGTCCCAGATTGAACTCCCCCTCATTGGCATAGTGGTCTGTGACCTCAGGCCTGCCTGACGCCCCTGAACTCTGCCTGTGACATGTGGAGGGAGGCGCTGGTGCTCTGTTGTACATGTTGGAAACAAATAGACGCGCATGAAAACACACCCCTGCTGCTGCTGCTGCTGGACAGCTGGTGATGTCCAGCCGGCAGTACCTGTCACTTGCCTGGTCACCTTTCGGTCAGTTCTACTGAGTCTGTGCCAAGGGCATGGCCTTCCATGGAGCATGAGACAGATGCAGCCCTGCTTTCCACGGGAAGGCCCCCACCCGGCCCCCGCCCCTTTGGGAGAGGGCCGTGAGGAGCTCACATCGTCTTACCCTCTCCCTTCCCTGGCAGGTGTACATCCGGATCAAGGATGACGAGTGGAATGTCTACCGGCGGTACACGGAATTCCGGAGCTTGCACCACAGGCTGCAGAGCACGTTCCCCCAGGTGCGGGCCTACACCTTCCCACCCAAGAAGGCCATCGGGAATAAGGTACGGCCTCCGCCGGGCACCCAGCCCGCGCCCCTGCCGCGCTCCGCTCCGCGGCTCGTCGCTTCTTCCTGTCACTTGCTCAGAGAGTTGCGATCTTTTCAGAAAAGTGGGTGGACATAAGATCGAAATAGAGAGCAGTCGTGGGAGACCCAGCCCCCCTGCCCCTCGCCTGCTCTCGTGTGCGTGGCCCGCAAGCCTCTCCCGGGCAGGGCTGTGAGCGTTTGGGCCGCAGACTCCCTCTCAGCGCACACACCCTTCTCGCGTGGAGGCCCTGACGCAGGCGCACTCGCTAGCTGGCTGCCAGCCCCCTCATGTGCAGCCCTCATCGTATGAGTTCCGTGTGTGCGCGCAGCTGTGCACAGAACTTGCTTAGAAGACTTTCTTCTGTCATAGGCCCACTCACATCGTGGTGGATATCACGTCCCTCAGTGTTTATTCAGGTACCCCAAGGAATGAGGAACAGGGTGCTGGCGTTCCACACTCTGTCTGGTTGGCTACTATTCTTTGGTCTGGCAGACATTGGTTGCAAGGGGCTGGGCCAGGGCTGAAGGGGCTGGGCCAGGGCTGAAGGGGCTGGGCCAGGGCTGAAGGGGCTGGGTCAGATGCAGCTCTAAGCCTGGTGTGGGCACATTCTGTAGTCTGCACATTCAGTTGGCTGGCATTCTTCACCCCTGGCTGTGTGTGGAACAGTTCTCCACCCCCCTACCCCCCCACCCCTGCCGCACCCACCCCCCACCACTCTATGGGCTTTAAAAAACAGTGAGCCATGCTCTGCTTGTCTAGCTCCTATTTAGTGGCTGTGGAGGAGAGGCCTGTGCAAAGAGAGGTTCTGCACTTTCTAGATGATTCGAGAGCACCGTAAGCTATAGAGCTCAACTGAGCGTCAAGAAGGGGAAAGGCGCACCGACAGTTTGAGAGCATCAAGCAGCCTGCTGGCAGGGCCTCCAGTGGGATGAGGCAGAGTCCTGACCGTTCTCGGGACGGGAGCAGTTGGGGCGGTGTGGAGGAGGCTCGCTGTCCCGTACTGGCCCAATGTGCCACCGGCAGCAGCCTCCACCTCACCCGGACACTTGGTGCACACACTCTCTGTTGTTTTGATTTTCAGTCCTGGAGTTTGATCTCAGGACTGTTTGTGAGGCTAGTGCTCTACCAATGGAGCCACATCCCCAGGCCGCTTTTAATTTTTGGGTGAGATCTTGGGGGCTTTTCTGCCCCAAAGTCAATCCAAATCCTCCAAATCTCAGCCTCCTGAGTGGCTAGGATTCTAGGTGTGAGCCACTGCCACGCAGCTTTCTATCTGTGTGTGCTCAGTGGTAACAGGACACCATCCAGAGCTCTGAGTGCCAAGCAAGCGCTCTGCCACAGAGCTGCAGCCCCCAGCTGAACATACGCATTCTCAGCCCTGCCAGCTGCAGCCGGCCATCCACGGCCTGCTTCATGCCCTACACACACACACGCTTGCACACACACGCACACGCATGCACATACGCGCACACGTGTCTAGGCTAGAGCAGACCCCGGTACACACCCGGTATGCCAAGGTTTCTCAAGGACGCTGACGCATCACAGGCATGGACTCGGTCACTCAGGACACATGGAGGGGCCGGGAGTGAATGGCTCCAGTTTCAGGAGACCAAAGCCAAAAAGATGTGCTTCGGGGTCATCCCCGCACTCAGGGGGGAGGGGGCGCTGACGGAAGCTCTGCCTGTCACGATGGTGACCAGGCTGCTGATGCTTCGTCTCCATGTGCTGCCATGGTGGTGACAATCGGGGCCCCTTCAACAATGGCTTCCCAGACTGCTCCTGGAAATGACACATGACAGTTCCAAAGCAGGCCACGCGGCTGACACCAGAGCAGGCCTTGCACTCCTTCAACCACATAGTGTCTCTGGGGACTACTCTGGTGACACCCACGGCATGGTGTCCTGTGAGCTGTCCTCGATTTCTGCCCACCACCTCTCATCTCTCGCCTTACCCCAACCCCTCCCCGAGCCACGCGGCTGCTCTCCAGCCTCCACGGTGTCACCGCGGGGCTTGCGTGCCTGCCTTTCCCTTGGCCTGGATCTGCATCCCAGATCCTCCAGTGTGTCAGGACTTGGCTCCGGCTTTCTGTCCTCTCCCGAGCCCTGTTGTCCCTTCAGTGACCCTCCTGCCCAGACCTGCACCTTCCGTTTCTTCCCAGCAGAAAGCCTGGGCTGAAATGATGACTTTGTATTTCCCCATGTGATTTGTCTCTGCTGTGTGGCAGCCTCAGGGGCAGGAAATGCTGTGAACTGCTCTGCACGCTCCCTGCCCCAGCTCCTGGGAGGGACAGGACGTGCTGAGCAGAATGACTTCAGGTGACTGGGATGCATCGCTCCCTCTACTCTGGTGGCCTTTTGCAGGCTGGGCAAGAGCCCAAGCAAGCTCTGGTGACAGAAAGGTGACCTCGGATGGTCTGCAGAGCTGGCCTGCAGGCTCCCTGTCTAAGAAGTCTCTGCAGGCATGAGGGCTTCGGTAAAGACACGTTTTTGATGGTGTTACTGAAAGCCTCCATGATTGCTCAGTGAGCAAATGAGAACCGAGAGACTGTCATTCGTTCCTGCAATAATAGATTCACTCTGGGAAAGTTCATTTGGCATTAAGGCAAGGCAAATCGCTTTCCCAGAGCTGCAGATAATTCAACTTGTTGGAGAAATTATGCATTAAAATCCTCATTAAAAACACATCCACCCGTGTGTGGTGCCGGAACCAACTGGTGCTCGCTGAGCTGTGGAAAGTTCCTCTGTGCTCCTTGGGAGGTAGATGCCTTGAAATGCAGCATAGCAGGTGGCCTCACGGGCAGCCAAAGGAGGCCCAGGAGAGGAGCACGGAAGTCAGGGCTGGCCAGGCCCGGCTTGGCTCCTGGTGACTGGTGCGGAAGGCATGGTACAAGGGGGGAGGGGCAAGTGGGCATAGCAGCAAATCCCTTCCCCCAGATGACGACAGCTGCCAAAGCAAATGACCACAAGCCTGCTGCTCACACGGCATCCTTCACTCTTGTTCCCTGTGGAGCTCAGCTGCTCAGATCATAGCACTGGCAGCACCCGCTTGTCCCACAGGCCCGGGGTGGGGGGCTGGGAGTCAGCCCCCATGTGCTCTGGCATGAGGTCCCACCTAGTCTTCAGTGTGGCATTCGTCTCTCTGTAGCCTTCCTCTGCGGTCGCAGCAGGGCGTGTGGTCAACTAACTCAGGGTGGCCTCCCTTTCTTAGGGCCCTTAATTTAATCACCATAGCAAGAGTCCCTTTACCAGGCAAGGGTAGGAGACTGTAGGTGCCCAGGAGGAGGGCCCCGACATGTTTTGGGGAGGCATCACTCTGACCTGCTACCTGCCTAACCAGGGCAGGGCTCTTCCTACTGCCCCTCTTGACAATGGGGAAACAGAGGCATGGGGTGAAGTGACTTACCTCAGGCCATCAGGGTCAAGGTGTTGTCTGGCCCAGGCAGCCAGTCTGAGGCCCAAGCCCTCAGTCTCTACAAGTCCAGCCCAGCTCTGGAGCCAGGCGCAGCTGAGCAGCCTTGCTCAGCGGGGACATCCCTGTGGCTGCAGTACTGTGGGACTCGGGGCAGCAGCGCTGGCTCCGGCCTCACCCGGCTCAGCAACCCGTGCGCTTGGCGCCATTCATGAAGCCAGACACACTGTCCTTGGAGTTTGCTCTAGACTTCTAGAACCCTTCCCAGTAATGCCAAGCAGGGAAGACAGGCAGTCATGTGTGACTGCACTAGTTTACACCTGTGTTCATTCAGAGGATTTTGCCAGCCCTGTAGGTAGGAGGCTCTAAGAGGCAAAGAGGATCGAGGGAAGGAAGGAAGAGAGCAAGGAAGCTGAAAAGAGAAAGAAGGAAAGGGATGGGGGTGGGGAGTGAGAACAAGATTCTTGTGGCTTTGCTGTGTGTGGCTTTGGGCACTAACTTGACCTCTCTACGCTGCAGGAGTGGTTTGGGCATTTGTAGTGCTGTTTTTGTGGTGACATTTGTAAGATCTTTTCCATGGTGTCCGGCGCATGGTAAGTGCCGCCTTTGCGTTTGTTAATGGCAGTGTTGCCGCGCAGGGCTGGGGCGGGGCGGGAAGCAGGCCTGCACGTGCTCATCCCTGACGATGCCGGGACTCTGGGCCCATGCAGGGCACAAGTCCCTCCCAGCCCATGCCAGGCTTGCCAGGCACACAGGGCGGGGGGGGGCCTTAATGCTCACATCCCATCATGCAGCTCTGGACATCACCCAGGTGAGGAAACCCAGGCTCAAGAGTAGTAAGCACCCACCAAGGCCGGGGAGCTTGTACGTGCTGCAGCCAGGAATCAGTCAAACTCTGCCAAAGCCACAGCCACGGCCTGCGCACGCGCGGCAGGCAAGACTCAGCGGTGCTCCCCAGACATGGACACCGGAAGTTCAGTCACCGACAGCGGGCTTGTATGCAACGGCAGCCGCTTGCAGCCTGGGCCTCCCTCCTCCTGGGGAGACAGCCCCCCTAAACAGGGAGGCACTGTGAGTAGAAGCAGAGAACTCCCCTCCCACAAGCAGCAAGATGTCCAGAGAGAATGAAGGGAGAAGAGTGCCATCAGTGAAGCCATTAAGCCCACGCGCGGCTTTGCTTGGCACGCTGCCACGCCCTGTGCCCGGTGTCCTGGCGCTTAATGTACCACAAGATGAGGAAAGGGAGCCGCCTGCCCCCCGCCGCACAGGGCGCTTCCTGTTCACGCAGTGGAAGCCGCACAGACATCTTCTAGAAGTCTGCTCAGCTTGTCTCGCAGGAAACCCCAGGAAGAGACAGGACGAGCGCAGACGAGGTGTGGGTGGATGTGGATGCATTTAGTAAGTGGGTTTCTGGGGAAGACATTTCTATAATTTCAAATTAAAATCCGACGAAAGCCATAGACATTTCTGACGCAGCTAGAAAGGTGCTGCCGCGCGGTTCCCCGCTCCGTTCCCGGGCTTTGTACTTGCGCACGTGACATGGCGCTCCCGAGACCCCTGCTTATTTT